TACTAGGTTACATCAAGGGACTTTCCCAGCCTGCTGCACCAGGGTCAGAGGCCCGCTCCAACTTACCTGCCATGTGCTACTACCAAGAAGCATGCGCATACTGAATATATCAAGGGTGGAAGAACAGCAGCATACACAACATTCCTGAAAATATGGAGCAGCGTGTGCAGTGATGTGATAATTATGAGGCCAAAAGAAGATGTGTGCGGTGTATGTTCCGATCTGCAGTCTCAGATTGTAAGGGCAAGAACGGCAGAAACTCGCTTTTAGCACACTGACGCACTCGAAGCTTATATTGATGAAGCTGACGTTGCCCGTGACCTTTATCAAAAGTGTATTACTGCCTGGCATCTGATCATCTGCCAGTGGCGCTCGAGACGGCTGGAATCTCACCAAGCGTGCAAAGTACTTGCACCAACAGATTCTTTAGCACTGCCACGCAGAGAGCAGAGATATCTGCCCGCCGGAGTCTTCTCTGGTCCTTTCTGTACCAAGAACTTGCAACACTTCAAAGTTGCAGCCAACCGCTATTTGAAGACCAACGACTGGTCGTGGGCACATGACCATCTGTGATCATCAGCATCATATCTGCCTCACCCCATGACTTCCAAATTCCGCTCCGCATACTATTCCCAATAACGTCTGTTCTTCTTTTCTCTCCTTCTCCTCCTAGCACTGTCTGTCTTATCATTCCCCTCCTTCTAATGTACTGTCTCTCCTCCTAACATTTCGTATCATGTACCTGTCACTCCTTTCATTTTTCTTCTTTTTTGGTGCGTTTTATGTCCCCATGACGTCGAGACCTCAGGTCGGCTGAGGGCAAAAAGCCCCACCATCACTATGCTCCCACTATGCAATTTTTTGTCTTTGCCTGTGAGCTGTGATCATTGTAAAAAAAAAAATTAAAAAAAATCACCTGCCCGGCACCAGACCAAGCAGAGCCAATGTACTAATTATAATTATGTTCGGAACATACATAGTAGAATACTGGATAGCTGTGCAAAATAGTTTTTCTCTGTACAAAGACAGGTGTATGACAGGTGTATGAAGCCTCAGATACGAATTATAGTGTGAATATCATTTATTTTCGGCATTTTTATGCACCTAAAGCTTTCATGAGATGGGTCATATTTCAATGAATATATACAATTTGAGCCTAATACTTCACCATATGTTTGGGCAATGGCCAGGGACCAACTTCCCGCCAAAAACTCAATTTCAACAAAATAGCACCAAAGGGTGGTTTTAGCAGATCATTGGCCAAATAACTCCAAAGCACGAAAATGGCACAACAACTAAACCAAGAACATGTGCAATAACATGTTATGTTACCATGCTGAAATACGTCCAAACTCATTCCTGCGCAGGAAAGCTCGCCCTTCGCGATGTCGATAGTCAGCAATTTCTACTCCAACAACACTCCCAACGCTGCAGAACGAAGTGTACTGTTTACTCTGACAAGGAAAGCAGCGGCGATCACTTGTCACTCCAAACGACAAGCTTAAAGTCTCCCTGCACCACCAAAATTATTGCGGGCAACAGTTCACGCAACAGTGACTGACATGTTGCGTGTAGTTTTTGAATTTTACGCAAGAGGAACGATGAAATCACGCACATGCACTTATATGCACATGCACTTATATGGATCGCCCGTTAATCGGGATCTAGAGCATCCTCATGCCCAGCTCGAGAGCAAGCAGGTCATGTTGGAGGCCTTCCATCCCGGCTTTACCTCAACATTAAGCACAGGAAATAGGATTAGTAGGGTCAAATCTTGTAACGTCGTTGTTCATGATGTAAGAAATCTGCTATTTGGGAACGCCGCCAGATACTCCATGCAACCAGTGTAGGCCACGGCCGCGCGTTGGTCAACTCCATAAGCTCATCCCGTAATCCCATATTTGGGAGACGTGATGTAATCGCGTGCCCTGGCAAAGTGCCGAGTTGTGGGCAAAGTAAGCATGCATAATCGTTTTCTGGATGGTGTCATTGACAATATATTTGATATTCTTGAGCAATCTGTCTTCTCAGCGTGTGTTTTGTGCAATTACCAACCCACATTGGTTGCTACCTGATATGGTCTCGATGTCAATACAATTTTCACACCTTCATTCATAAATCGCCCTGTCCTGTTTAACAATGTACATAATTATGTAAATAAGCGAACATTTGTGGTGTCCCCAGAAACTTTATTATTAGAAGATCAGAAGAAGCTTTGGGCAGTCATGAACACCGTAACAGGCAGAAGGAAGAGTCGGCATGCACCACAAGTAACTGTCACAGAGCTAAATGATGCATTTGGAGCCATTGTCCATGATCCCCATCGACCAGCCACATTACCAATGCCAGCTGGCCCAACTGGCTCAGTGGGACTGACATCTTTCACTGCAGTTCAGATACCTGATGTTTCCAAATGCTTACAGTGCATCAACCCCACTAAAGCTACTAGAAGCGATGGTGTTCCCTGGTGCCCTTTAATACTTAGCCGCTGCTCAGTCACCCGAGGTCCATATGTAACTCGTATTATAAACAGATCCCTATCCGGAGGAAAGGTGCAAGTTTCTTTCAAGCGATCACATGTGAGCCCTCTCTTCAAGGGAGGCGATGCGACATCAGCAAAGAACTATAGATCTGATTCATTGTTACCAATCGCCTCAATTATATTGGAGTATTTTGTTAAGCAACAGCTGACACAGTTCTTGAGTCGTCATTGTCTACTCCCCCATCTCAGTTTGCTTACCCTAAGGGTCATTCTACCAAGGATGCCCTGATCCTTTCCACCAACCGTTGGTTATTAGCTAAATCTGAATGAAAGCACATGGGCATCGTCACGGTTTATATGCCCAAGGCATTTGATAGAGTTGACTATCGCCAGCTTATTCAAATCCTCTTTGAGATTGAGCTTGGTAGTGTGGTGCTGCAGTGGTTTTGTTCATATCTGTCCGAACGTCAACAGTGTGTCAAAGTTAAAGACCAGATTTCAACGCCAGTTCCATGCTCCAAAGAAAGTGTACTTGGACTTCTCTTATTTGTGCTGTACATCAGTGATGTGCTTGCACGTGAAGTTTGCAATCACGAGTTTACAGAAGATATCGTTGTTGATTACTCCGACCAAGACCATGCTGTTGTTTGTGCTGTGCTCACGACAGCAGTCACCCATCTTTCGTCCTGCCTTGAGGACAAAGTCTTGCTATTGAACTCAGCTAAGACTCAAGTGATGTGGATTCGTCCCAGAGGTGCGTTTCACGCTGGTCCGTCACTCGTAACCTGCAACAACAGTGTTCTGCAAGTCACACACGTGGCAAAATACCTGGGTGTGTTGATTGATGACCAGCTAACTTGGGCACCTCAAATATCCCGCTCAGCGGGAAATACCCATGGTAACCATAGATTTTTTCAGTTTTTCCCTCGGTGTGACGGTCCCCTTAGGCCACGGTATGTCCAACAGTTGAAAGTCCTTGAGGCAGTTTGTATACGTATTCATAAGCCTTTTTTTGTGTAAGCAGAAAGAGCACGTTGTTTCACTGAAGTTGTATTCGTAGGTTGACACTTCGTTCAGTGCCTTCTCACCTTTGGTTACGTAATCTTGTTACCTTTTTGCGTTTCCTCTAGTGGTTTTATTGCACTTGTATCTTGATGTTATTTCTAACACCTTTCTATTAAATTATTTTACATTATTTAACTTCAGTTTCTTTGGTTGTATCCTTTAGTTCCGTATTTTTTCCCCACTGATGATAGGAACGAGAAAATCGATTCTGGGTTTTCAATTATATTTTTTGTTATAAAATACACAGTAATACATGTCAAACAAGTAACGTAGTTACGTGATGTCTGCGGCCTTCATCCTATTCATAGCTATATTAAAGTTACCGAAGGATGTACCCAGAGTGCTTGACAGTGCTCAACACCACAAAGGCAGAGCGTAATACACAACAGAACAACAAGGACAATCAAGGCTTGTTTGCTGCTACTTTAAGTTTCATGCTTACGCAATCATCAGGCATGCCTGATGATTGCGTAAGCATGAAACTTAAAGTAGCAGCAAACAAGCCTTGATTGTCCTTGTTGTTCTGTTGTATATTAAAGTTATAATTATTGGAACTTTAGTGCCCATTTTCCAGCAAGAAGCGAGTGGCCACTTGTGACAAGTGGACTGCTAACGGGACAAGGATCTTTCGACAATCATTTGGTTGGATTATGAGAGATGCAAAGGCGAACGCGTGAAGTGCTTAGATGCAAGATGTGTCACTTTGTGCGAAAATTTGTTCGTCCAAACATTTTCGGACTCGTTCATAGTTGAGTAAAAGGTAAAATGTAAACTATCGTGTCCGTTCCCGAAGGGAACTTACGACGGGCGCTAACACCCGGTTAACCCGGTGGGTGAGAAAATTCATTATTTGAAAATGTAAGCTTTCAAAGACATGTCCGGGCAAGTCCGAACAATTGAAGAAATGCCAAGACATTATGCGGGAACGACCATGATCAATGTTCTTATCGCATGGCATGCTAACATTCTATGCTCCGTTTCTCTTTGCCTTCTTTGTTTTATGTGGGATGACGTAAATACAAAAGCATTGAAAAAATAGTGCTCTCTTTTGAACAGTGCCCCTTCTGTGATGGATAGTGAAAACAATAATGCCCCTGGGACACTAGTCATATGGGTATGGTAAATGCCAGGTCCCTTAATGTCCATATATTCCTGTCAGTTTGGTGCCTTACTTAACCCCTTGAGCGCGGATGACGTACTAGTACGTCATGTCATGCACACAGTGCCCCACGGATGACGTACTAGTACGTCAAGGATATACGCATTTACTATCTTGGCCTAGATCGACCGTGGCTCACCGTAGAATCTCCATTCGACTTCCGTGGGGCAGTGGATGAGTACATAGAGTGTGTGGGCGGCCAAGCAAGTCGCGCGACACTCGTGAAGTCGCGTGGCCCATGATTTTGCACGAGTGAAAATTTCAAATATTTCGTCTCCACGTGCATGGTGAAGAATGGCTGCGTCAGGCGATCGTCGGAGGTTTGTGCCTTCTGTCGACCTTGCAAATGCTGTCGATCAGGTCACTATGGACGCTGATAGCAACGAAGAACTTGGCCTGGACGGCGGCGATGACGATTGGTCCTCTGAGGATGAAAGCGCTGCTGCTGACGACATCGCTGACGATGTTTTTGTCAATGTCGACATCGATCCTGTCAGCAGTGACATGAGTGAGAGCGAAACGGAAGACGCGAGTGATGAGAGTGATGGTGGAGAGCCTGGTGACTCGGCAAAGTCCCATGTCCTCTTCAATGAAGTGTTGCAGGCCAACGACGATGGGTCTGAAGGTGAGATACTATTTTTGAAAATAATTGCAAAATTGTGAAATTTGAATTTTTGAAATATTTTATTTTTTTGAGAAAATAGCCACGTATTCTCCTTTGAACTGTTATGCACAAGGTACACACCTTACTACGTTATTCAACTGGATATTTGAATATCCTCTATCATCTATTAGCATCATCTGTAGTGTGCATTCAATATCCCAATTGCTATTTGTAATTTATGTACTGTAGGCGATTGGAAGAAAGCACACAACACGCCATACAACCCTGCCTTCACTGCACAGCCAGGATTGCAAGTGCCAGTGCCACCAGAGTCAAGTCCATATGATTACGTCAATTTATTTTTGACGGATGCATTCTGGGACTTACTTGTCAACGAAACCAACCGCTACGCCGCTCAGTTCATCGCCGCTCACCCCAACCTTCCACGACGATCACGCTATCGTGATTGGTATGATGTTGATGTGGGCGAGATGAAGGTATTCCTGTCGGTGCATCTGCTCATGGGCTTGCTGTGGAAGCCGGAGGTTGATTTGTACTGGAACAAAAAAAATCAACTCATCTACACTCCATCATTTCCAGCTGCTATGAAGCGAGATCGCTGGGCGATCATCATGTCGTTTCTCCATTTCGCGGACAACGCATCTGCAGCGGCAGCGGGTGACAAACTGCGCAAAATCAGACCCCTCCTCACCCTGCTGGGCGACCGCTTCAGTTCTGTCTATACCATGGAGAAAAACATTTCTATTGATGAGGAGCTCATCCCATGGAAAGGTCGCTTAGATTTCAAGCAGTATATACCATCAAAGCGGTCCAGATTTGGCGTGAAAAGCTTCGCGATATGTGAGACATCTGGGTACATGGCCGGTTTCTCCGTGTACGTGGGAAGCGAGGCAGGCGGACTTGATGCTGATATCGTTCGACAGATTGGCAAGTCTGGGGCAGTTGTGGAGCGGTTGATACGCCCTTACCTGAACAAAGGCTACAGGCTGTTCGTGGACAACTTTTACTCGAGTGTCGAGCTGCTGGACTATCTGGAAACTCGTGGAACAGCTGTATGCGGCACTGTGAGGAAAAACAGAAAGAGCCTACCAAAGCGGGTGGTGACGACGAAGCTGCGCACTCGAGGAAATTTCTTGTTCCGATCACGAAGATCAGCTCTGCTTGTGAAACTGCTTGACAGCAAAGATGTCTATATACTCACCAATATGTTCGAGCCGACCGTCACTTCTACCGGCAAAAGAGACCTGCAGCGCAAGGTGATCAAGAAGCTGACGGCGATTCAGCACTACAATAAGCACATGGGAGGAGTGGATCGCAATGACCAGCTGCTGTCTCACTACTCAGCACTCAGAAAGACAGTGAAATGGTACCGCAAAGTCGCAACTCACTTCATCGAGGTTGCCGTCCTAAACGCGTACATTCTGTACAAGAAGCAGGGCGGGAAGCGCCGCCACCATGAATTCCTGTCCGCTGTCTTCACAGCCATGATGCGCGATGGGAAAACACTGTCTGACTCCAGTACAGATAGTGCACAAGAGCCAGCTAGCCCTGCTTCTGCTACTCCTGTCACCACACCTGCTGCTGCTACTCCTGTCACCACACATGCTGCTGCTACTGCCGCTGCTGCTGATGCAGTTGTTGCTCCAGCTGCTGCTGCTGCAGCTGCGGTTGCAGCTGCTCCGCCAGCCATGCCGAGGGTTGTTGAGGATAGACTGACCGGCCGCCACTTCCCATCACTGGTTCCTGGCACACTCTCCAAGCCTGCTGGAAAGGCACAGAAGCGGTGTATTGTTTGCCAGTCAAAGCGGCCTTCTGTCCGCCGAGACACCACCGTCTGCTGCAAGTCGTGCGCGTCAATGCCTGGGCTGTGTGTTTCACCCTGCTTTGAACTATATCACACAAAGGAGAAGTATTGATCAGCTCATCATCCAACCAGGACAGATTATAAATATTGTAGTATAACTGTACAAATTCGTACTATTTCCTCCAGACATAGAATATTGTAAATAATTGCTGAAAATCGTAAAAACCGACTTTTCTATTTTGGCTGCTGTGGACCCAAATCATGGATCAATGCCTTCATATAATGCTTTTCTACCGTCAGGAACACATATGAACAGGTTGCAACAGTAATATCACTGAATTTGCCAATTTCATATTTTGGCCATTTTCAGCCCCGTGGGGCACTGACAAATGCCCCCGCGCTCAAGGGGTTAATGGTCCTTTCTTAAACTTCAATCTCTAGGGAAAGTCTCTCACTTTACAGTATCTCAAAAAAACCTGATCCATGCAAAAAGGTCTCTTTGCGATCTATATAATAACTATTATAATAATTATGTTATGACTTACAAATAGGATAATTTGGTTGTGGCTTGAAACAGTCCTGCAGGAAGGTCAACAAGCTGGTTATTCTGTACGTCTCTGTGAAAACAAAGCAGAACTCTGCTCAGGCCTACCCAATGGTCTGCAGGAAAGTACCCGTTGTACCCATGGACCTTCACATCGTGATATTCTTCAGAATGGAACAACACACCCATGCCCGGGGCAAGGAAGGTCATGTGTAATAGGAACACTTAATAGATGTTAGGAGACTACTGTAATCATTGATCCATGTCACCATATTTATCAACCATAAGTACAGCTGCAGTGATGTCTTCAACTTCATTCTCCATGTCAACTGCGTATGAATATTCAATTTTGCAAATACCAGAACAGTCTCTCCACTTCCACTAACTGTACGCTCAAATAATTTTCCTCCGAGAATACAATTACTCGCCAAAGGCACAAAAGAGGTTTACAGAGTTGGATGCAACTCCGAGCTTCTTGCTGAATGCAATCAGCATGATCACTACCTACAGTCCATTTCAAAACTATAGACGCGTAGTGTTTTGCAAAATTCGATGGAATTTATTTAAATATTTTTAGTTTTTTCTCCAGATTCCGTCTCTACATCGCTTCACAACTCTGGCTATATACTTTGTTTTCGCTACAATTGAAGTTGATTTTTAGGCCAGGTTTTCCGGTTTTACATGTAATTTCTGTTTTGAAGGGTTTGACCAGTTTGTTTCGGATTTTGCTCCTGCTGAGACAGTGCTGCGCCCAGACCATTGCGGGGGCATTTTGTACGGATCCTGGTAGCCTCTTGGTTTCGATCCGTGATTTCCAGTACAAGTGCGGGGCATTTGAATCCAATCACTCCTCCTGCCTTTTTCTCTTCTTTTCTGCATGTTTTGGATCTTGTTGGGTGAAATACAGTAGAGATAATAATTATATTTTTTCTTTTTGATTTGATTTGAGCCTCCCTGTTCCCTTCGCCTGACACAACGAGTGACAGTGGTTTCAATCACGCCAGTTGCAATGTGAGTTAGACGACGAGGATTTCGGATAATCAAGCGTCAATCAAAATGCAGCTCTTGTTCGAAGAAACAATAAACACGACTAATCATATCTTTCTCGGCATCACTGAGATTCTTACGGACCTTGGAAGCCATTACAGTCAGGCACTCAGAAAATGCAAATGAGAAGAAGATTCATTTGAGACTTTCCTCACACCTTTTCATTTGCGACTTTGCGTGTTTTGCATCTTTTGTATTTCCCGCGGCGACAAAGAATAACCTGAAAAACACATCTGAAAACCAGAAAACACTCATGCAAAACTCACGGCTGTCGTGCGCTACAGTACTTACGGCTCATACGTATGAGTTCACGCGTTTATAGATTTGAAATGGACTGTAGAAGACTAAAAAGCGTAAACCTTTAGGCTCCCTGCAGACTACGTACATCGAACATCCAGTACAAAGTCATATAAAACCTAAAAGGCAACATTTTTCCAAGCCTGCAGTCAGACTGCACATTTTACATGCAATATACAGGGAATCTTTGACCCTACGCTATTGCGCAATGGACCCGGGATGTGTGAAAGCAGCCGGCAGTCGTACCCGGGTTCAAAGTCTGTACGTTTGTACACCTACCTGGTGAGAAAGTACGATAACCGCAGGAAGGTTGTACAAGGGGTCGCAGCCTGCCTGAAAGGATTGAGCAGCTTTTTAGGCTTCCCGCCAGATTCTTGTTGTATTGGAAACTTCTTTGTAAATGTGACTTATGGGCTGTTTTGTTCCTAGTGTGAAGAGGGCCTTAGAGTCCATTCATCGTACACAGTCCCGCTGGCTTTTGATAGTCCTATCTGGGCCGAGTCGAGGATCAAAAATTGACTTTAAATATCAAACATCTGGGGTTAGGATCTGCTTCTCCTTAAATTATGTCATGGCATACCTGTTCTGATTTTGTAAAACCTGGCTGATTTTCTATTTCCCTGTACTTGGACTTTTCTGGCCTAAACTGTGGCAAGGAGTAATTGCACGGTCACACAATGCAGGATGTACTGTTGTTTTCACTATCTACAACTATGTGCGGGAGACATCAAAAAGTTAGGATGCCAGTTTCCAATGAATGGACTTTAGTAGCAGAGCAAAGTTCAGGTCCAACAATAACATTCTGACATTTTCCACAAGTAATCTTTCCTACCCTTCCCTCAGGTGATATACAGACAACAACAAAAAAGACGGAATTCAGGCTGCCTGAGTCGGGTTGGTCTTTTCTCTGCGAAACTCAACACAGACAGTCTAAGAGTGGTGTGAGTGGCCAGTATAATTCAACCCAAGTATTGATTGATAGAAGAAGGCTCAAATTTCCAACACCGTAGATGGAAGTCATTATTGTAGCTCAGCTGGTTAGAGCATTGCTCGTGAAATCCCTTTACAAGTTTGTATTACTGGTGAAGTTTGTGCCTGGAGAGCTCTATATATTATAAGTTGTGCTCACCAGGCTCAACTTAGCCTAGTAAAGCTCAACTGATGAGGGGTGAATTCCTTGAAACATTGTGTACTGAGCAGGGAGTGGTGCTGTCTTGCAGGTTAGCCGAGTGGAAGGCTTGAAGTACGTCTCTTGTGGTCTGCGTGGCAGTCGTGAGTCAGTCAACTATCAATTCAAGTGGAACCAAACACGAGCTCCAGTTTGGGGAGCAACACTTTGGGATTACACTGAAGAGAGCATGTCTGAGAAAACAAGAACATAATTATGTGCAAGTCGATCTCTCAGATTTCGCTCAAATTTTGCAAGTAGGTTGGCTTTGGGTTGTAGCTCGACATTCCTAAGCCCACGCAAAATCGTTTGAAGGGAACCCTGAAATTTGCAGACCCCCACAATATTGGCCCAATATTGGCACGATTTCTGGGTCTACAAACGAGCCAAAACTTAAAAAAAACTTGTTCAAAGTGTTGCTGCCCCAATAACTCTTCTAAGGTGAGGTAATGTTGGCTTGATGGAGTTTTTTTCGTAGCTTGTTCTTGTACGCAAAAGATTTTGCGCAGGCTTTGGAATGTCGATCTACACCCCAAAGCAAACCTACCTGCAAAATCCGAGCGAAATCTGAGAGACCGACTTGCACATATGTACACATAAACCCGAACATATGTGCTCTCTTAAGAGAGCATGTCTAAAAAAACCAGAACATATTAAAATATTTATGTGCAAGTCGATCTCTCAGATTTCGCTCGAATTTTCCAATTACAGGTCCTCCCCCATTATAACGAGTCCGGTTAGTACATAAACCCATTAGTAGATACAAATCTGAATTCCCCTGGCGAAACATGGTCTACACCACTGTTTACAGGTCCGGATATAACATAATCCGTTATAACATGAAACTCGTTATAACGAGTCTTTGTGCTGGCCCCGGGAAGCATCTCCCTCATTATAACATAACTTGTCCAATGGAGAAATGGAAAAAATAAGAAGTTAGAGTGAAGAACAAAGGGAAGGTCTTCGTGCAGCGTCCTAACATCAAATACCCACAACATTTTCACCAATCTGTATAGGTTACTCATATGAAGAACATTGACAGCTAATTCATTCTAGGGTACACCGTATGCACTCAACAACAGTACGCTACCTGCACACTCCGCGTGGGCATGGAAGAGGAAATAGTGTTGTAAGTGTTCTTTCCATTGAGGTTTTGTTAGTTGTCATCTGAGATACGACAATTGTACGTCCGTCCAAATACGGTCCAGTGAACACGCGGAAACAAAAAGGTGTGCGTAATAATTCAACGAAGCTTGGCGAAAAGGCTGCTGCTGCTGAACGGACCAAAACATACTTTGCTCACCTCAAATAAACGTCTAAGTGACGGAGTCGAGTGCAAACAGAGATCGAGTGAACCAAGCTGCACTGCAAACTGACAAGGACAAATTGTCCTAGCTCTAGGCGCTATGCGGCATGAGGCTTGTGAGTGTGACACACCTCTGACCTGCACCTGTGATCTACAATGTGTACGGTGGATCCCTGAAAGGGGCCATGAAAAACCAGTGGATAGTGCATAGGTTACGGATCGGGACGAGCATGAGTCCATGTACGCAGCATTGTACCCGAGCTGGGTAGACTCCCGGGACACAACATGAATCGGTCGTGGATTTTGTTCGTCAACCAAGGTGAGTATCAGTCCGTTCAGGGGGTCTTGAACTAGAAAAGACTGATCCAGGTTGTGTTTTTGTGTTGGTATGTTACTTTGGATCCATGAAGGAAGCCATGAAATGTTTCTCAATCAAGACACAGATCATCAAACTGCATCGTACAGATGTAGTGGGGATGTACGTCGGTCCATCCCGCGTTTCTTACAAATACGAGAACACTATCCATCTAGGTGAATGGGGCAGCTGCGCTGGCATCCACGGCCTTCTTCAGGCACCTTTGCTTGCTTACATCTCATCCTTCGGGAGGTAGCTATTCGTCGTTGATGGGTTACTATCGCTGTCGGGTGTCTTTCGCGCTGCTACGTTCCGCTGTGCTGTGTGTCAGGGGTGCTCGGTCGGCCCGTCACCGTCCAGTTCACATGCTTCGTGAGTTGGCGATGGTGGAGGGT